TAAAGGCCTAGACTTTGAATCCCCCGAACATAACATTATAATAATTCTTAAAGCAAAACGATGGCCACGTTGGTAACTATTAGTAATTTCATGGCGAGCAACGACATGTCATTGCTTGTTCATTGCTCGTTTAAGTCATTAATAGCGAAATGACATAATTGAACATAAAATTAAATGTTAGTGTTAAAATTGATAAAATTAAAAGTTTGATGGTATAAACGAGCCAACGCTCAAAGTTTAGTGATTTTTGAAGTAGTTTTCCCTTTTAATATATATATATATATATATATATATATATATATATTGAAGTCTTAAAAATTAATAAAATATAATAAAATAAAATAAATTAATTAATTGACTTAGGTAGTACTTTTATCCTTGTAGTAGACTCAATTTATCATTTTAGCCCTTATGGTATTTTCACATTAATTTAACCCACAAAATTATTTAATTGCATCATCATATATCGTTGATCGTTTTAACTAACAACATCATTAGTCTTTCTGGTTGATACACACTTTGACACATAATTTTTTATATTTATGCAATTTTTTACTTTTTTTATGTCATGGTCCCTATGCTTTTTACTGAAAAAAAAAAACTTAGATTCTCTCTTTTTTTTTTGTTTTCTTTTGAAAATTATCATATTCTTTACAAGTTATTTTTCATTGAAAACTACAAAGGTTTTTTTGTTTGTTTTTAATTTAATTTAGATGAATAAAAATCTAAATCATTGTTAAATTATTAATTTGTTTATTAAGTCATGTTTGTTGTGTTATAGGATGAGTATTGAATCAAAATAATTGTTATAGTATTACTATAGAGGTAATTTGTAGGTTTGCCTAAATTTCAGTATGCAAATGAGAAATTTAAATAGTTATAAGCTAACCTAGATAAACTTTGTTATTTATAATATGAAGGATTTATGGTATGACTTTGATTCACGGTTGTACTACTAGTAGTGATGATTTGTGATAGTAGTAGATGATGAATCAGTTAGACAATGTTTAGGGATTCTGAACAATAAAGATATTGTAGACCTTTATGTAGACCACACAAATAATTATATAGTAAGTGACACTATTAAAAAAAGTAAAGATGTAGTGGAGAGTCTTGGTTCTTCTAACCAAAACACTAATGAGATCGAAGGGATAATATTAAAACATGTTAAATATCTCATTCATACATTAACTATACATAAAGTTTAAAAATTCTCGATTACATACATAGGGTTTTCTGTCGTCAACAATTTCACTCTTTTTTGTCAAGGAGATAACGTGGTTCTATGTGACCATTAGCAGAATAATATGTGGCAGAATAAAAATTATTAAAAATAAAAGTTACCCCTTTATTTTCCACATGGGCTAATCATTCATTCTTCCCCTATTTTGTAACAGGGAATTTAAATTGAGTTTTCTCTTATTTTAACGTCTGGTCATCGAAGAGAATCTCTCTTCATCGGAGAGAGTTTCATGATTTTAGTTCAGTTGACTCACTTCGATTTCTTTCAAACTGAGTTCTAAACTAATTCGAGTTCTTTGTTTCTCGAATGGGTGCATTGTTAATGATTTTTTTATAATTATTTATCCTTTTGATATTATTTTTTATTGATTTCACAGAGTGACTAGTCTTCCTTTTAGAGATTCCATTTTGGTGCAGATTTGGAGAAAGCTACTAAATTTACAGAGAATATTTTGAAAGTGTAAGTTATATATTACTTATTTTTTCAACTTTTGAATGGATTGAATTGTATATAACATTGAGTTACACTATATATAATATGTCTCTTGTCGTGTATGTTTCTTGTATATAATAGGCTTGAATTACAAAATGAGTGTAGATGAAACTGTCATTGTCATGCACATGGGTGGTAACTTTATTAAGAATCCAGATTTAGAATATGTTGCTGGAGATAAGGTTGAGTGGGCAATTGACAGAGATTTATTAAGTTATTTTCAACTAATTGACTTGGTACATAAGTCTAGTTATAGAGCAGTGATGTGGTTTAGCTTGTTGGCACTAGGGGGATACTTTAAAGGATGGGCCTATATTTTGTTATAATGATGAATCTTTTATGAGGATGATTTCACATAGTAAGAAAGGGGTATTGCATGTGTATGTTGAACATGAAGTTAATAAGCCAGAGTATGCTGAAAATAAAATGTTGTGCGAGTCACATATTGATGATTCATGTGATAATGTTGATGGACCTAACAACTGTGTTTGTGAGACAAAAAATGGTAGTGTGTCCCACATGTTGAATGAAAAAAATTTATTTGATGTAAAAGTTAATGAGTTTGTCTCTAGTGGATTTGGCTTTAGTAAAATAGGTGGGTGCACTAATGGGACTAGTGAGACAGTAGGCTTGAGCAGGGATTCAAAAAACGACCGTATAATGGTATAACAGTTGTTATATCGCGGTATCGGTGGCCCCCGTTACCGATATCAGCCGAAATCACGGTGTGAAATGGAATCACACCCATAACGGCCGCAATATAACGGGTAACGGTTGATCGCGGTTATAACAAACCGTTTTTTTCGTTATTCCCTGTTACAACACCAAACAAAGAGAGTGGCAGCTGAAAATGGCCGCTAGCAGCAATCCCAACCCAGAGGGTTCCGATGAGCAACAAAAACGATCGGAGATATACACTTATGAGGCCCCTTGGCACGTCTACGCCATGAACTGGAGTGTCCTCCGCGACAAGAAGTATCGTGTCACCATCAACAGTCTTCTCGAGCAGTACACTAACCACCTCGAGATTGTCCAGCTCGATGACTCCAATGGATAGATCCAATCCGACCCAAACCTCTCCTTTTACCATCCCTATCCTCCAACCAAGACCATCTTCATCCCCGACAAGGTGTGCCAGAAACCCAATCTTCTCGCAACCTCCTCTGGCTTCCTCCACATATGGCAGATCTCCGATGATCACTCCCGTGTCGACCTCAAGTCTCTTCTCAATTGCAATAAGAACAGTGAGTTTTGCCCCTGTTACCTCCTTTGACTGCAATAAGATATTAAATGTATTTGATATGTTAGAAAAATAAGATAATTTTTAATTAAATTTTTAAACTTTAATAATATATTTATTTAACAAAGAAATTTTAGATAAAATATCAATTTAACTTTTAAATATGGAATCTAAACCAATATTAAAGGGATTTATAATATTCTTAAGAAATTTATAAATAAATACAAAATTAATTAATGATGGTAAAAATTGTGTTTATGTATTAATAAAAGTCTATAAGTGTTACAAAATACTCAAAAAAATCTTTAAAAGTGATTTTCTATAACAACAATGTCATTGTAAAAATAGTGAAGAATGAAGGAATCAACAATTAAAAATTTCAAACAGGCCAACAATGTTCCTTAAAAATGACAATGTGTGAAGGAATCAAGAGAGATATGAAGAGGTTTTCTATTTCAAAAATAATATAAAAGGAGAATAACGAAAAACAATTGAAAATACAATACCTACCTAGGAATGACGATGAAGGAAGAAGATAATTTTTCTTTTGACAATAAGAAGAAATTTTTTTAAGGGGGTTAGTTTTACGTAGTTGATTTATAGAGAAATAATAAGTTAATAAATATTTTAAATATTTATTTTTTAATAAATGCTGTCGTAGAAATTGCAACGTCCATATACACAGAAACCATTCAGTTAGTCAAAATAATCAACGATATAGAATGACGCAATTAAACAACTTCAATGACTAAATTGATGTAAAAAATATCATATAAACGAAAATAATAAATTGAGTCTACTACATGGACAAAAGTAATCCTTAAGCCTAATTAATTTAATTATATATATTCAAAATTTTCTAAAGATATATAATTTTACAAATCATATATTTTCTTAAAATGCATATAAAACTTTAAGAAAAATATATTTTTTAAGATTTATGAGAAGAATATATGTGTGTGTGTATATATATATAATAAATCTTATTGTATAATCCATGTAGATCATACAAATTACAAAGAGAAATACATTGAAGTTACACGAAAATTAATGAGAATTGAAGAGTAAGGACCTGTTTTTTTATTGTTTATTAAAAGTGTTTTGTGGTCAAAAATCATTTTTCTTGGAGTTGTCGAAATCATTTTAGGTGATTTTTTTTTATTTTAAAAATTGAGTCCTCGTCATGAAAATATAATCGTAATTGATTATTTTGATTAGATACAACTAAATATTCATAATTCAATTACATTTAAATTCAGAATTAAAATTAAGTTCGAAAGTCGATTATGTATAAGAAATATTAGAGCACCTCATAAAGTAAAAAATATTGATACCTAAATAAATAAACATATTGTCTCAAAAAATAAAAAATATATTAGTGATTATAGTTATAATTGATTATTATGCATGAAATAAAAGATGGCGTTAAACAAAAAAAATGTAAAAGAAACAAATCAATTAACTAATATGTCACGACTAAATTGAAAGAAGATGAATTTATTTATGCCAAAATGAAATTAATCTATGAAACATGACTAAATTGAAAAAAAAAACAGAAATTACAATGACCGAAAGCTAAAGGAACTGAAAACATAATTTACCCAACGATGCAAAACACGTTGATCTTGGCCTTGCGGTCGAATACCAGTTTTATTATTATTATTATTAATTTGGGCAAGAAGAATGCATGTATGTTGAAAGATAACCCTCAATCATTTGACATTGAACGCTCACACGCATGAAATTCTTGGTGCTTAAATCCAGAATCTCAATAAATAATAACAATTCCTTCACGAATTTGAATGAGATTGGTTAGGATTAGAGTTTAAGGTGATAAAGGGTTCGACTGGCTGAATCCTTATTGAACAAGAATGACTCCATTTCATTGTTTATAAACATCAACATTTATTCTAACTCGTCCCTGAATCTATTCAAGATAGACTTGACTCCGAACACGTTATTCGTTTGTTCATTGTCAACCACATCCATGAGTTAAAACAGAACATAAACAAATAACAAGCCTTCGAGAAACCGAAAATATGGTTTATTTAATGTTACAACAGGCTGTTTGCCTGAGCGACCCGAAATTTGGAGGCCTTAAAAAAAAACACCAAAATACAGTCATCAAAGCAAATCTTACTGCCAACTACCAGTCCCATTCCATCTGTCATTTTTCGTCCGGGAACACCGAACATAACTTACTTGTTGTCTTCTAGTCCAACTCCATTACGAATGTACGGATTTCCATCGGAGCAAGTTCTACCACCAATTTCGCCGGATCCACCGGTCCTCCTCTCACCACTTTTGGAGCTTCTTCGGAGGAGCCTTCCACTTTCCAAACCAGCCTTTTCCTTTCCATTTCTGCTCTTCCTTGGTTGGCAGATAGACTCATCTCTGTCACTTTATTTATCTGAACATAAGAAGAAATGAAAATGATGTAATGGCCGAATATCGATCAAGACGAAGAGATCTCATGCACTGCAATGATGGTTTTATGTCTGTTACCGGTTATTTCTCTCGAGTCGAGACCGATCATCATTCAATTAGATTGACCTAGAACTAATGTAGTAAAGAAGAGTTATCTATCAAAACAATAATTGGTGACAGATGGCTTGGCATACACGGCATTATTTTACCTTCTTATGTACGAATACTTTTTTAAGCTGTACCCACGCCATGACTGAGAGATCCTTGTCCTCCCCAACCTTGCATTTTGAACAACAAACAAAATCAAACATTAAAAAAATAAAATTGAAACTGGTTGAATTCTATTAATGATGTATCACAGGGAATTACCAACCTCGTATAAGTGTGCAAGCCGGAGAAGAACTTTTCCATTGTCCAATTCCTGCATATTTTAAGAAATACGGTAAAGTACATAGATAGTGAAATCGAAATTTCAAGTCATGGCGAGCAGATAATTTGATAGTACTGAAGGGGATTGAAACTATCTATTTGATCACATATCAGTTGCATTAGGCAGCATCTGACACCACAAACGGAACTGTAATCCACAGAGATGCAGTTCCGGTTATATCTTCTTTTAGGATAGTCTTTCTCCTTTTCATGTTGGAGAGAGTTGTTCTTTGAAAAACAGAAGGGATATATACCTCGAGGGTTATCATGGCAACATTATCGGGTAAAACATAGGACGGATCCATCCCGGAAAAGGATGAGACGTGGGAATTAGTCCATCCATCTCCTCCCTGCAAAATGTTTAACTAGACGTTCATAAGACTCAGGATGACCAAGAATCTGCAAACAATAATTCAGCTTATTGCTTTCACCTGCTCAGTAAAGGCTACGAGAAATGGAGAGTAAATCTCCTGACCAAATGATCGACGCCACTTCGCTCCCTCTCCGAGAGGATCGATTCTGAGGTAATACTTTCCTACGATCTATAAAAACGTAGAATGTTAACAAAGATATAAGCAAAAAAAGTTAGGTCTTGCTGCAAACTCAAGTTCAAAGATATAACCAAAATATGCTTACTGTTAGTCCACTGCACTCATTTAGTACACAAACTGTTTCATTTAGGGCTTCTGCAACACCTCTTCCATCATCTCGAAGCAACCTCCTATATAAAGAAAGTAGGACCACAAATGGATTGTAAAATTGTACAAAACGAAAAATTAATTTATCAATGCATCTGTTCACAGACATTAGTACAGAAACATAATATATAACTGAACAAGTAACCGTGGATGGAAGATATTAACCTATGGAGCATTAGTTCCAATTGACCATCCTTAATGCTGGCTCCACCCACGGATCGATCAACTAAGACTGAAAGCTCCTTATTGTCATCTTTCATATACATCCCAAGATTAATCTGAAATTAAAGCAAAAAGAAACTTTAATGGCAGAGCCTTAAAGAGACCAATCAATCAAAGAGCAGATCATAAAACTTTGTCGAACAGTACTAGGATAATAAGAGATTCGAAGCAGTGATAAAAGTATACAGGGTAATAGTTTCCTGCAACAGGCTGATTCACGTCTAAGGTCCAATCTTTTCGATAGTCTCGAATCTGCAGAATAAATTTCTGATAAGGCTATATAAAAGCACATTGCAAATATCAAATAATGCAATCACACATACTCCACCAACATGCTAAGATATCAAGATAAGCAGGCAACAAACCCGTTCAAGGAAATCTCGACCACTGGAATCCGTATAGAATGTTTTGTTGGTTTTCATAGGTGTTGAAATCTGAGTCACAACTTCTTTTCCAATTCCATCATTGATCGGTATAGGACCAACCTAAAATTAGGAACAAGCCTGTTATGCAAATAGTTGTTTTACAGTAAATATATCTACAATAATACTCAGATAAGTAGTTACAGTAAACTCAAATTCAGCATACTCCTTCTCCTTGTACACTCTTGTGATCTGTTTATGCAGACAATCACATTAATTACAAAATAATCAGAGTTAAAGAAAACTGCAATTTTTCGAGTTTAGAGAGCATGAAAGGGAATATTCATCTGAAACCGTTTACAATATATAGTGGGTGATATTGGAGATATCTACATGAACAAACAACAATTTACATGCAATTCTATTATTTGATTCGCAGGTCATTGGATGAGGCAATAACCTGATATATCCACGAATTGATTCTCTGATGTACTTCATCCAATATAGGTCCCCGTAAAATAGTAAAAGAAGCCTGAAAATTTTTCCATCTCATGAAGTTTAAACCAGCTTCCTTTAAAATGAAAATCCTAATGAGCACGCTTCAAAAATAGATACCTGGTCATCAGGTTTAGTAGAATACGTGCCGTTTGGTCGAAAGATGTATGCTCCAGAGGCCTTCAATAAGTTATATCAATTATGTCAAAAATTTTACATCTATAATCAAATACATGAGAAAGTAGAGGCTTTCATAGAAGGTACATTATCACCTGTTTTTTGTCAGTGGAGCCAGCATAAAAGCTATATGATTGCCTTACAGATTCTTTTATCTTCAATTTCAAACAATGAGAAATCATACGTAAGAAATTCATGTACAGAAAAAGATGTAGCGAATTATGTATATGGATAGATAGATACATAAAGGGAGGAGAAGCAAATGGAAAATTGTAAACAAAATAGCAGATTTCATACCATCTTTTTGCTACTAACATATCCAATAAGTTTTGGTTGGTTGGCGTAATAGACAAGTTTCAGGTTGCCTGGCCCTACTTCGATTACATCTTTTTGTTTACCTTTAGAACCGTATGCTACATGGTACTTTGAGGAAGTTGCTATGGTTGTTTCTGTGAAACAGGGACAACCAAATATACTTTTATGTCAAAAACTTTCAAATAACAAATCTCACCGTCTTCTGTATTAGTGTTTTCAGAGATTAGAAATGATATATTAAACCTTTTCGTTGGCCGCTTGAGATGAAGTAAGTGTTAAGCCCAAGAGGAGGTGCAGATGCTGAAAATGCAAGCCAATACTTCGGGGTAACACTTGGGGATTTCCCCAAATAAGCCATGGAATAGTAATCTCTTATGTCCAAAGAAGCTTTTTGCAGAGGTAGAAGCTGTGATTTGATTTCGTTTCCTCCATGATCCTTAACGATAACATTCTCATCGATAACCTGCAACAAGTGATGATGCAAAATCACATTTGGGGAGCACAAGGACTATGCAAAATACACAGAAGATTGTTTGTCTTCTTGTAAGAGTAAAGAGGGATCCCTTATGTGACAATATCGTGAGACTGGAAGTAAAGGTCATAGCATTAATAAAACTATATACTCACTGGAATTCGTATAACCTCCTCTCGTTTCCATCCCAAAGAATTGTAGACAACAACCACCTGAGAGAAGAACAAACCAGTATAGAATAATATAAGTAGAATTAGATTTATCTTTTCATTAGCAATTGAAATAAGAGATGAAATTCTGAAATGCTAGTCTCTTTTACCAGATTTTTGCCATTTGACAGATCAACCTCAGACGCAGGACAATAACTTATATTCAGAAGAAGACACTGAAAGGGGTAAATTCAGAATCAGTAGACTCAAACTTAAGGCAGATGATAATCAGTATCCCTCTAAACTCTAATTAATATAGAAACTTCCAGGAAAAATATACAATCATTTATAGAATTATACTAATCGAATATGCTCCATGACCCCCTGCATAGATTAAATATTCTTAAATATTTAGAACCAAAGATCAGAGTTTAGTCATGCTATTGCCTGCTGAAATTTGGCCACTGGGCTCCCACTCTCAGTCTTTGAAGAAGGCCTTGTTATAGACGCAAGTGATGTTTCCACCACTTTTGCAGCCTGTAAGAACCATTTTGACGTGAGAATCACAACAACCTTGAGCCTCTGACGTATCAATAGGATACTAAGCGACATATTAACTTTACCTTCTCATAGCCAATGGATAGTCTTTTTGCATAGTCATTAGCCACATGCTGTTTTGAAGTGCCACTGACTGCATCATGATGTTGAGCAAGAGCCAAAGCATCCGCTAAATAGTCAGTGTTCGGTCCGGCTTTACTTTTTCCCTTAAAGAATTCCAATTGTCTTGCTGCCTGTTGTTTATGCGTAGGAATTCAAGTTAAAACATCATGAGTCACATGCAACACGTTATGCCAGTTAAATACGATATAAAACTTACCAAATAGTAGCCACTCATTCTTCTAACATAGCCTTTGAGTGCAGGCCTGCTAGTAAAATATCCGGTCCAGTAGGCATTTATATAGTCTGCGTATCTGATAACAGCATGCATTAGTTTTGAATGTTGGTTACATATCCAAATCAAAACCTCCTACATAGACATGTTTTAGCATCAAAAATATGAACTTACGGAAAGTAGTCATCAGTCTTCAGTGGCCAAGCCTCATTTGTTGCATATTTTGCATCAGTATATATCGATGGGGCTGAATATAGGGCATTCACACGTCCATCCTATGAACATTATAATCAACAGTTGGTCTTTTAGCAAGGAACGAAAGGGAAAAAAAAAGCACAGTAGCATATCAATGTTAACTGAGGATTATTCCCATAAGACATCGATTCTATCTGATTAAACAAGAAAAGGCAAAACAGAACGATGCTTGTTAATCAAATCGATCTTTTTGACGGGGGTTGAGGCCTGAGGGTGTTGATCCAGACATCATAGCATTCATAGTTCTTGGTTTCAATTACGGGGAAGTTTATCCAGTGTATTTTCAAGTTAGTGTCTGGTAGATCATGTGTGTACTTTGTAAATTGTGATATAACTGTCAGCTTACGTGGCTGCAAGGAAAAAGAATCAACAAGACAGAAAAAGCAGCAAACTTCAAGTATAAATAAGCATAGGAAAGGTCTTGGAGAATTCTAACTTGATTAACATAATGGATGAACTTGTCCATTTGCCGGAACCATGTGTGCGCATATTGATACTTGAAATCTGTTCCCATAGTCCACATCACATGATTTGTTCGAGTTATGTTAGCCTGGAAATGACAAGAAATTTTAGGTTAAAGAGTCAACCTTTTCTGATACAACCAAAGTTAGCAGCGCAGAAAAGAAAGTGCAGAAATCCACAATTAAGATATTGGTTCTAAAATATCAAATACTCTGCATCTTCATAAACGAAGAATATTCATACAAATAACAGCACATGGAAATATTCCTTTTATGCCGATCTGAGACCAGGAATAACAACAAAATTTTCAGACGGGAAGCAGTCCAAATGAAGCTGAACCTGCAGAAGAAGTCATAAAAGCAGGCCATGCTAGTGTGATTTGAAGCGATAAACATGCGATAGCAACTAATATGAGACATATTACCTGAGACAAAGCAGCCGCTACAAACTCATTCACACGCTCGGGGACATTGTAATCAAACAGCTCCATGTTATCCTTCAAGTGAAAGAGGCAATAACATAAAATTTCATTTTGCACAAACATATGAAGTAAAGAGCTGTTGAGTACATTATAACAAAGAATTTACCTGGACAATAGGTGAATCATCATTAACTTCATAGTAGAAATTACTAGGAGGCTCATAATTCTTGGGGAATGCACCAGCAAATATCTAGAGAAAAGTAAATAACACACTCAGGGAACTTAACAAGATAGAAAAATAACAATCTCCTTGATCCTAAAATCTAAACCTTTTTGCACTCTCTACCCACCTGTGCTGATGAGCCAAGACTCTTTGATCCTCGCCAAACAACTTCAAGGCTCTTCTCATCTTTCCTTTTACCTCTGTCTTGGTAATCAATTCGCCCGAAGAAAAGTGAATCGAATCCAACCTATGCAGCAAACAAAAGCTTGTACTTAGCATATTGTTACGGATAACAACTACAAAGTGTTGTTTAATAATATAGATGGATTAGAACAGTTCTAATCGGACAAGTAGTTAAAATTATGGGAGACCAAAAGACCAAAAGACCAAAAGCCTTACCTCTGCACTCAACAAATAAGCTTGCACTGCAGAATGTCCAAAGGGATCAATTTGCCAACCAATCCTAGGGGTGATGTTGAATTCTTGTTTGATAAATCGATGTCCGAGAGTTGTTTGATCGATCATGTCGATGTAGTGTGGGGCAGCTTCATCATGCATGCACATTCCTCCATTTCTGCAAGTCAATTATCAAAGTCTCCGCAAAAACTTAAATTACATGATCCCACATTTCCCAGTAAAAGATAAAATGAAAACCCAGAAGAAAAAACTTGAGCAAAATTGAGTTTATTACTTTACATTAACTCAAGTTGACCAGAGTTGATGAGCTGCTTTACAATCTCTTGAACGGTTTCACTCTGATCTCTCCACCATCTCTGGAAAAATGCCTATAATATCAAAAAACAAAACAAAAAATTCCCATTATTTTCAATGTCCAAAAGATATTTCCACGGGGTTTCAAAAAAAAATTAAAAATAAAATAGCTGCCTGTTCAGCGTAAATGAACTTCCTGTTCTTGTCAGCTAACAATGCAGGCACAATAGAATCCAAGACATTCTGAACACAAGCTCCCTGCAAATATTATCAACCAAAAAGGGAGATCAAAATCATAATTTGCTCAATAAATTTTGAAAAAGAAGGGGAAAATTGAAAAAGACCTGAATGGAATTATTGGACCCGACGTAGTACTGATCAACAGTCTTTAACCAACCAACATCATCATGCGAATGAGCAACCAAATGAACATTGAGTTTCCCAGGAACTATCTTAGACGTAGTATTGTAAACCATATACTTAGATTCAACGCACCAAATACTCATCAACGTAATCAAAATCCACGCCCCATGAATAGCCATGGCTATCCTGGCCGATAAACTCAGCTCAGAGACTGGGAAGAGAAGTGAAAAGTATTTGCTCTATTTATGAAAACGAAGCTGCATTCAATGATCAGGCGAAGGTTTCAAAGAAGAATGGAATAAGCCGATCAGTTCTTTGTTGTCTAATTATTTGTTTAGATGCGGAAAGGGGGTGAACAGATCAAGAAAGGTCGCTTTCGATGAATCAAATACAGCAATAAGAAATTGAAAGAAATGATTATTGAATGAGACAAACAAGTGTCCTTGAAGTGTTTGATTTGAGCTTATCTTATACTCTCGTGTCTCGCACTTCAACAGTGAAGAGGCGAATCTTTTCTTTTTCTTCAGAAATAAACACGCCTTTAATCAAGATGGAACCCACAGAAATCAAGGGGGAAATCAGCTCTTATCCTATCCAAAGATGAAAAGCAAATGTTATCAAAATCTCCTTTTCAGTATACACGTAGACGAACCTCCCCCTCACTGATCGTACCGAGAAATCGAGGAAATCAGGGGAGAAGATATAAGTAATTCAGTCAAACGAAAATGGCGTAACCAACTTTTCACAAAGTCACGCCAACTTCAGATTCCCTCCAAAACTCAACCAACAATCAATAAACAAGGTCTAAACCACCGCCGCCGACCTTTCCGTACCATCTTTGATCTAGTACGGAGGTTCGCCGTAGAAGAAGGTGGCGGTGATGAAGTTTAACAATTCCTTGATATTGCACTAGGATACTCCACTCCTCTGTATACTGATTTGTTGAAGAAAATTATTAAAAATTCCCAACAGTCAAAGGGCCATATATCCACTTCGTCAAATCATACTATTTCATGATAAAATTTTAAAAAATAAATTCCATAATCCTCAAATTTTAATTAGAAAATATTAGAACACAACGTAATCAAAAGTTCAAAATAATGATGTATCCAATATAAAATTTAAACAGCAATTAATCCACTCAAGACATCTGGGACAATTAGAAGAATGATTAGAAACAGAAATTCAGCCAACGATACGGTGACATTACACTTTTGCTTCATGTTAAGACAGATGAGCCCTTAATCAGAGCCTTGGTTCAATTCTGGAACCCGGGATATAGTTGATTACCTTTAATCAGGAAAACATGGTGCCCATTGAAGAGTACACTACACTGCTGCACTGTGAAAACATCAAACTAGAGCGAGCTTACATTAAACACATTAAAAGTCAGCCTTTCAAGAATGCACTGGCCAAGGTTGTCGGGGTTGACGAAAAATAGGTAACTGACCGGGCTTAATGTAAAGGTAGTGGGGAAGGAATTGCTTGGCTTCATATCAAGCAACTGCTGAAGAACCATCCCGATGAGTGGAGGGCAATAGACCTGTTTGCACTGGGTCTATATGGTCTGATTATATTCCCGAAGACTTTGGGATACATTGATGCTATTGTGGTAGAGTTGTTTGAGAAACTTTCGAAGCGAGTCAACCCAGCACCGGCCATCTTAGCCGAAACCTTTCGATCTCTCAACCATTGCAGAAGAATTGGCAGAGGAAGGTTCATTGGGTGTACTCAGCTCCTTCAAGTCTGGATTCACAGCCACTTTTGGAAAACTAATGGGGTTGTCTACCGTCGATTCAGCACTACCTATTCACCCTTGGAAGAATTCATCACTAGGAAATGGTATAAAGGTGTTTCAAAGGAAAAGTGGATGAAAGCCTTTACACATCTTCAGGATCGAGATATTACCTGGAGAGCCCCCTGGTTGTTCCTCGGTGACGTTCTTTTTCGATGTGGGGATTCAAACACTAAGACCTTACTTGGACTTTGGGGTGCAGTTGGGTATGCTCCGTTGTTAGAACTTAGACAATATGGGGCACGTCAGTTTGTCCCAGCAACATGGGGGCTGGCTAGATCAGAGTTTGTGTATCATGGTGACAGTTATAAGAAGATGATTAAGGAAGTAGTTGATTCGTGGAAAAAAGTATTCCGGATGGATGTTGTAGCTGCCAGAGACATGCTTACTCTGGATTATGTGGAGTGACGAAGATTGAGAAAGAATGATAACATCTCGGTGCCAGACTGTGAAGACACCCGGACTATGGAGGAACATATCAAGCCTGTCCCTTCTGAACTTGAAATAGCCAAGGCAGAGTTCGAAGCTGTGAACAATGAGTTGAAGCAGGGGGTAAAGGAACTTGAAGCTGAACATTATCAGTGGGAGCTAGATACTGACTCTCATAAAGATAGAGCAGAAAAACTGGAAAGAGAACATAAAAGAGTATGTTTTGAGCTCGAAGATTTGAGAAAGGGGTATCAAGATAAAGTCAAGGATAACTCCAAGTTGAAAGTAACCTCTGAATACTGGAAAGACGAAATTCACAATCTGGAAAAGAAGTTCGAGGACCCTGATAAAAGAGCTTGAAAGGAATAACTGAAGACTGCTCAAAGGCGCTTGGCAGACAGTTAACATCAGAACCAATGCTTGAGAATCCGGGTGGTTGACTTAGAGAAACAACATGATAGAGATGGCAAGACAATAGCTGAGTTAGAAGCTATTGTAGATGGGTTCAAGAAGCAATCGAATGAGCTTAAGATAGTGCCATTCGATGGAGGTTTACAGTGGCGTTTCCGTTGGGAGAAAGCACAACAAAGGGTGAGGGCCAGAGACGCAACCATCCGAGATTTCCTGGATAAAGTATAGAAGGCAGCTCGTCATCTTCACGGCCTAGCAAGGGAAGCTAGAGTGGTTCGACAAGGCATTCAACCAGTGACAGACGAATGCAGAAGACTTGTCAACCTATTAGCTGTTCAGGGTCTAGAGGATTTAGTCCGGATTTACCTTTAATTTGTTTTTATGTCTCTTAAAAGATAAAACATTTTTGTCTGAATAAGGATTATTTATAATAATGGACACTTTTCTAGATCAATGCCTCCAAATTGCATACATCATACATTGCATATTTTGCATTTTATATTTCATGTTTGTTTTTTTTATATTTTGTATTTTCCATATTTTTACATTCGTATTAACTAACAAAACATGTCTCAGACATCAAGCTTACCACCGCAAGCATTAGATATGCATCACTCGCATAATACTCGAGCAAAAAAGAGACAAATGGAGGCCAGAATTGAGAAGATCGAAGAGAACATGGCAAGGCCGCAGAAAGAATTGGAGGACAAAATGGCTCAGAACAGTCAAAGTACCATGGAGTCCATCAAGAAAAGCACGAAGTCCTTAGTTGACCAGATCGTAGCTAAGTTGTCTGGTTTACAACAACAAGCAAGTGCACCTGGAGTAGGTGCATCTGAGGGGATAATCATACCACCGACCCTACAAGTGGTTGTCTCATCGGGGATCTTACCCGGACTGCAAGATGACTCATCTGCCGCCAAAGGGAAGGCTGTATCGGTTGTAAATTTACAGACTTCTGCAGTAAATACTGACAGTCATCTAGATGATTGTCCTATCCCGGATTTTAATGAGGAGGATAAGGCAAAGAAGATGGAAGAAAATATCAGGATGTTAGAAGACCAAATGAAGATGGTCCAAGAAGACCATGATTATTATGGAGTTGACGCAATGGAGCTAAGCCTGATTCTAGATTATGGAGTTGTGCCTGCCCTTCAGCCCATATCACTATGTTCTATCGAAAGATGACAGGATACGGGGGAAATGACCAACTCCTAATCCATTGCTTTCAGGAGAGCCTTTCCGGTTCAGCTATCCGGTAGTACAACCAGCTCAGCCAAACTCATATTAAGACATGGAAATACCCTAAAGACACCTTACTTCGGGCACCTGGTTATGCTAAAAAGCTTAGAGAAAAAACATAACGAAAGTTTCCGACAGTATGCACAGAGATGGAAGGATTTATCTGTGCAAGTTCATCCACCCTTGGATGAAAAGGAAACTAGAAAGCTGTTTGTACAGACCCTGAAGACAGCTTACTTCGGGCACCTAGTGGTAACCAATTTGGGAAGTTTCTCAGATTTGGTCATGGCCGGTGAAATGGTCGAATTGGCCATAAAACAAGGAAAAATCGAAGGAGGAGACTCCAGTAAGAAGCCTTCCATGAAAAACAAGGACCGCGAGATCAATAATGTCAGCACCTACAACGCTAACAAAGGTGTTACAATCTCAAGTTCAAAAACTACTACAGTTGTACGATCCGATACTTCTAACCAAACTCTTCGACACTCACGCGGTATCACCCTACCCAATGGATCCGATAAAGCCCCCATATCTGAAATAGTTTGACGAAAACGCCCACTGCGAATATCATGGAGGTGTGCAGGGGCATTCAATTGAAATCTGTCTCGCATTCAAGAGGCTTGTACAATGAGTGCGGAACAAGAATTGGATCACTTTCAACTCCGGAACACCAAATGTCGCCCAGAATCCCTTGCCTAATCATCCGGAGGCTGGAATCAATGCAGTCACCACCGAGAGCGGCATAAGAATCAAAACCAATGTTTCGGAAGTTAAAGCTCCTTTGGCTTGGGTATGGAGCCAAATGGTAAAAGCGGGGCTTCTTGCACCCTAGTCATACGCAACAAGGAATGAAGGTGGTAATCATTGTTGTTACCACAACGAAGAAGGGAATGAAGTGCAAGAGTGCCCAGAATTCATATCGTTAGTCCAGCTCATAATGGACCGGAAAGAGCTGTAATTTTATGAAGAAATTCAAGATTCTTTGGAAGTAGATGTTTGTGCTACCGGATAATCATCTGAAAAGAAGTACAGTAGGGGTAGTCCTTTGATAATTACCCTTAAAGCGAAGACGAAAACAACAACACAAGCCAAGGTGGTGATCACAGCACCTCAGTCTTTTCAATATAAAGACAATCGATAAGTGCCATGGAAGTATGAATGCCAGGTGAGTACCTCCAAAGGATGTGATAACAATGTGGGGCAAAGACCACTAGAGCCTTTTAAAGAAGATATGCGGGCTATAAACGAACCTATAAAGGAGGAAGAAGCTAAAGAGTTCCTCAAGATCTTGAAGCATAGTGAGTACAACATTGTAGAACAACTCCATAATTTACCAACGCGCACTTTAATGTTGGACTTTTGTTAAACTCAGAAGCACATCGGGAGGTACTGCTGAAAGTCTTGGATCAAACGTTCGTGCCG